GTTCAGAGATGAAACAAAAAAGATTCCTGTCTTACCCCCAAGAGCTTTACATTTCTGACTCACATTCACAAGCACATGTAACACAGAAAGGGAGATTTCAAAGGAGGAGGACACTTTGTCAAGTTGAAAGATAAAGAAGATCAAACGTTTTCTTTAGACTCCAGTTTAAGGCTGGGCTCAGAGGCCTGGCGGCTTTTCCAGAACGCATTTCTGAGAAAAAAATTTTCTTTAAACTTTTCTTTTATCTAACAAAAACAAAGCTTCAAGAGCACTACTCGGTTTGTTGTTGTTGTTGTTGTTGATGATGGTTTGGTAGTGTGAAGTACAACATTTTTTTAAAAATAGAGATCCCATCAGCAAAGTAAGATCATTTGATGAACATATCAGATATGTTCCTACATGGTATTGAATAAAGAACTCCAGAGACCAAATATAGCAGCCTTGATGACTGCCTGTATCAATAATTTAGCATCACTTGTTTTCATTGCAGCCTTGTGACAGTATCCCAAAGAGTTTGGAGTTTCATGAGTCAGATTTCAATTGCGTCATCAGTGTAAATACTGTCAGACAACGTGCTAATGTTATGGAATACTGTGTTTTCCACCCTCTATTTCCACTATTTGAGAAATTCTATTGCTATAAATTTCTGCACCTAACTCATGGTTCAGCTAGTGACTACTTCACCATAAACTCTGGGAGCATTTAAATTTTGTTTGGAAATAATGACTATGCTCTATGAAAACATTTCATCCTCTAGTCACATGAAACAGGCCAGTGTTAATACTTTCCATTTAAGGTTTAGGAAATAACTAAGTCCGTTAGCTTCCTAATGCTGCTGTGACAAGTTACCACACATTTAGGGGCTCAGAGCTATGCACATTTATTACCTTACAGTTCTGTAGGTTGGAAGTCCGACACAGGTCTCGCTGCACTAAGATCGATGTGTTGGCAGGGCTGTGTTCCAATCTGAGGCTCCAGGGTAGAATTCATTCCTTGCTTTTTTCTTCTTCTAGAAGCTGCCCATATATATTTCTTGGCTCACAATCCCCTTCCTCCCTGGTCAAAACCAGTAAAGGCCCTAGCCAGTGGCACAGTTGGTTGGAGCATTATCCTGTCCATCAAAAAGGTGGCAGGTTTGCCCGGGCCAGTTTGGCTCAGCGGTTAGAGCGTCCACCTGCGGTCCGGAGAGACCCGGGTTCGGTTCCCACTAAGGGCATGTACCTCGGTTGCAGTTTGTCCCCGGCCCTGGTTGGTCGTGCGGGTGGCAGCCACTCGATGTGTCCCTTTCACATCGATGTTTCCCTCTCTCTCTCTTCCTCTCTCTCCCTCCCACTCTGTCTGTACAAAAAATGGAAAAATGTCCTCGGGTGAGGATAAAAAAAAAAAAAAAGGTGGCAGGTTTGATTACTGGTCAGGGCACATACCTAGGTTTCAATTTCAATCCCCAGTTGGGGCACATATGGGGGGCAACCAACTGATCAATATTTCTCTCCTGGGACCAAGGTGTCAATATCTTTGGAAAGCCATTATTCTGCCTACCACACTAAAATAGATTTTGTTGCCAAAACTCTAAAAATCTATCCATGAGTCAGGATCTTGTGAGCCTATCTATTTAAACCTCAGGTACATATGGTTAACTTTATTCTGTAAAATAATCTCCATCTCCTGTTAAGATACAGACACGACTATATGTAGTTCTAAAAAAAGAAAAAAAGCACAGCATTTAAATAGTTTGGATAAACTTACTCCGTGACCTACAGAAGACTTCTGAGTAGGGTGGGGAACTAAACTAGATGACACAGGGTTCTCTCTAACTTTGTCAACTCACTGAGGACCTGCAGAGTTCTGCTCTGTATTTGTGCCTTCCTTCAGTCACCATGGAGCCATAGATGCTTAATTTTCTAGAATATAAGAATTAATGAAAATCAAGTCCTCCCCAAGAGATCCATCAGAATTTCAGGATTCTTACGAAGTTAGCCTAAGGACTTTTCTTCTCTGAATATGGAAATGTAACTTAAAAAAAAAAATCAAGGGCCATTGGTTGCCATGATTTCTTATGACACATAAAAACGTACTTACATTAAACCAGCATTAAATATAATTTTTAAAATTTGGTAGTAAGAATTATTCTTATACTGATGGAAAACCACTGACAAGACTTTTTAAGGCAAGATGTGTGTATAACTAAGTTAACAGTTAGAAATAGATACACACAGTACTGCAAGTAGATTTTTGTCATCCACTCTAACAGAATCCTTATAAATGTGGATGGAATATAGTAGGTCAAAGAGTCAACTGCAAAGGACTAGTTTCTGTGCAGTAAAATATGTTAAGATTGCGAGTGCACCTCAGCCAGGATGAAGTAACAAAGACCAAATCTACCCCCCACTGGAAAAAAAGGGGGGTGGTCAAAATATACGAAATAATAGTTTTCAAGACACAGAACATCAGGTAATGAATGGGATAGTGGTCCCTAAGAGAGCAAAAACACACAAGAGGAGCCTTACAATGTCCCCAACTTGCTGCCTTAAGAGATTTTACAAATCACAGTTGAGGGAAAGGGAACTGAGGTGCAGCCCAGGCCCGAGTGGAGGAGAAAGACCTAAGTCGGGAGAAAGCAGCTAGGCTCTTCGATGGAGTATGGGAAAATGAGCAAATTGCAGTTAACATACTCTTTTGCCTTCCCACGATGATTCTTTCTCAGAAACACTCTGGATTTTATATACATTGTTTTAATTCTGACTCTTTATAAAAATTGCATCAATGTCTAATTTATCACTTGTACTGTCTCTGATCCCACAAAATATCATTAAGCATTTAATATATTGTCTCATCCTTTGAATTGTTCCCATTAGGCAAATAAGGAGCCAGGATCATTCTGTAAAGCACAGGTGGGTGTGCTCCACGGTTTACCCACTTTCTGAGGGGGACTAGTACATTCCGCAGGAGCAGTTGTAGGTGACGTGTAAAGGTCATCCTCACACACATCATTACGATACTCTGCAGGTTACTAACCACGACCAGAATGAAGAGGAGGAAAAGTAGTTTCCCGTTGTTGTCATCTCCTACCTGGCTGCTACTACCTCTGCTGGTCCCAGTGGATTACCCGGTGGCATGACCCAGACCCTCGCACCCCGGGGATCTAGTCACTATACCCCTGGGGTAGTTTGCCATGTCCATTTATGGTCAAATAAGCAAAGCACCTAGAAACCCGAGTGGATCACCCGAACTCCACTCATATTCCTCTCTGCTCAGTCACATAAAGGCAGCCCTACCTCTTCCTGATGAAGTCACTTTATCTGTCACGATGGTGGTTTGTCTTCTTGCATGCTAATCCCTGGACATGAAAATCCAAAAATGCATCCATTTATAATTCAATGGAGTGCTTTTGGGGTACCATGAAGAAAGGTGCCCCTTGTGAGGACACAGTTCTAATCACAGAGAGCCCAGTATCAGAGACGGGATGAAAAACGTCCCCGCATTTATTTTCCCTCTAAGCGTGCTGTCTGTATTCTGTTAGCCTTCTAACTCTGCAGGTCGGGCCCCCTGGCTAATCTCTCCCAGCTGGAGGGTTCTTATAACAGGCAATTAAGCGTTGCCACTTGGCCACTATTTTTCAGGTCTTATCACTCATTGCTGTCAGCAAACTAAACTTTGTATTAGTTTGTTTCTATTGTGACAGTAGCCTAGAGTCACCACTCAAGTTTGTAGCGACCCTTGACCCCTTCCCGCCCCCATCAGTTCCTGTCTTTGGCCCTGGTAGATGGTTTGTCCGAGCCTTCCAGTTGAAGGTATTCATCTGATGGATCTTCCAGCCGAAGATAATCTATCCCTTCCAGCACATGCATTTTCCTTGCCCTTTTAACCCTTCCCTCCACCACCTGCCACCGTGATGCTGGCATTTCAACTTTGCTCAGAATTGGCCAGTTTTTGTGTTTCTAGAAGCCACCCACCATCTCCTGGGATCCTAGCGAGGGTGTTAAGACCTGTTTATTTAAGTCCCACAACCCAAAGACCCAATGTGGTACTGTCAGACTTTCCTCTAATTTAGTTTTGACCCGTTATCAACACCGATTTCAGTCTCACACGTAACCCTGCTCCTCCCTGCACATGCTGGCCAATTCTTGCTGCCCCTTTGGGGTGTAGTGGGTTCTCCTCTCTGCTGGCCCAGCTGAGTCTTTTTTAACCCTAATTACTTAACCCTAATTCTAGGCCTAGTAGCCTGGAGACAGGACAAGTCCTGAAGGGAGCACACAGTGCCTGGGGAGGAGACCTCTGCATTATCATCCAGCTTGGAAGTGGGATGGGGGATGCTCATCTTTAACAGAGAGGGGTGAGCTGATGGCAGGCCCAGAAAGTTCAGGAGCCTGGGGAGTAAAACTCTGCAGCCGCATCCATTCAGGTGTCTCCGTCTCACCTGTCAGGGTCCTGGGTTTTCCCAAACAGTGCCTTGGCCTTTGCATAATAGACTTGCCTTGATTGGCAACTGTCTTTGAAGGTCATCCTTTCAGACTATTAAGTGCTGGGCTTGGTCGTTTTCTCAGCCCTGCAGCTGTTAAGAGATGAGCTTTTTCTGCATGCATCCACAGGCTCTCTGGCTCTCCCGCCTGGTGGTCCATGGCCTGTTATTGCCCTCAGCTGTTCATTATGTTTCTATAGAATAAGCCACCCCACACTGTTATCCTCAGAACTAGTTTTCTCCATACTTCTCAAATGCCAGCCAGTCTGGTAATACATTCCTTTCTAGCACTCCATCCCAATTCACTGCCAGTGTAAGTTGTAACAATTGGAACTTGTGCCAGCAACTGTCTGTTCTCCACTCCACCATGAATGATGGGGTCTGGCTGCAGAACTCTGTGTCTGCCACAGTATTAATCTTTGTTACCTATTTCGCATATTAGACCAAAAAAATGAAGCAAACAGATTATACAAAAATATTAGAATGCTTCCCAAAGTTTACAAAATTGAGAACAAGAAATTAAATAAAATATCAAAAGATGTAACTGTAATATTAGATTTATTAAAAAAGAAATGAAATTTCCTGGGCAAAGCATCTGTGTAATAATTCTATTTCTGATTCTGTGTCTGAAACATGGCTATGTAGTCGCCTTTGTACATTTAGGCATTAATAGGTACTGTTCAGGACGTACAATGTAAAGAAATAAATGAATCAGTTGCTAAAGCACACACATCATGACTATGTAAGATGACACAAAAATTTAATGAAAATTTAGCATAGAACATCTGACTTATATTCTGTGGACATATAAGGAAAAATACAATTCATTTTACAAAATCATAACAGAATGAATTATAAGCAGTATTTTTTCATAAAAACAGCAATTTAATTTCAAATATATTACCCTCCTATTCCTTTATCCTATATATGTATCTAATTGGCAAAACCTACCAGATTACTGAAATCAGTAAAAATCCAATTCATGATGTTTCAATTGCGTGTATCGATAAACATGTTACATTTGAAATTCATTTTCTTATGTTATACGCCTGATTATCAGTTCCTATAAAAATGCTATGCCCTCCTCCTTGTCCCAGTAAGTCTGGCCAGTCTTTTGCACAAGGCTAAGTGACAGTACTCCTGAACACCCACACAACTCACCAAGCACACACTTTCTTGCTCCCTCGGACAAGGTCACCAGTGGGCAAGCAGCTCCCCTAGTCCTCTTGTTCCTCGTAGTGCGCATAGCCACTGGCATAGGTCCTTCCTAAATTTAAACTAGTAAACAAATCTGATGACTCAGCATCTGAATCCTTTCCAGCTTCATCATCGTCTTCATCATCCTCTGCTTCATACTCATCCTCCTCATCATGGTAGCTGGTATCACCATACTTATCAGATGAAAGGTTCTTCCAATAGGCATCATACCCAGAAGCTCCATCTCCCTCTTCACCTCCAGTCTGCCTGCCAAATTTTAGGGAGCGTGCTACAAAACAGACGTGTGCAAGGTACATCAGTTCCCATTCTCTGCATCCTAATTTTCCTCTACGATATATAAAATTACATGAATTTGATTGGCTGCTTCTTACTCCCAAATGAAAAAGTAAGCCACATTTTCCACTTTCCTAACTTAATATTTAATTGGAAAAAAAAGAAGACCTTAAAAAACAATCTGTTCTCCCTACTTGAAATCTTCCTACACCACATGTAACAAGTAATGAATACGACAGTGTCATTTCATTAAATCTAGAAAAAGTTGGAAAACAAAATAAGAACAATAACCGTCTCCAAAAATACGTAAATAAGGCATGTTAAAAATTAAATAAAAATGTTTGATCAATTAAGTTTATTTTCAAATCATAATAGAGTTGATTTCATGTCATTACAATTTTTAGAGCAATTTCATAATTCAGATGTCCTAGAAGACAAAGCCTTTCATTTCTTCTAGCAACACGAAGTTTAGTGCAAAGGAAACAGCAAAATCATCAGTCTCACCTCATTGCATCTATATCTTTGATTAAGCAAAGTCATTGAGAATTATGGTTCCATTCTGATATGTTTGGTAAAGAGTCAAATTATCTTTAACAAATTGTGAGCTGCATTACGATAAATGTTTATGGCAGTCTTATTCCTTCATAGAAAAGTTATATAAAGATGAGAAAGCAATGTCCTATAGTAGTGATGTATATAGAGTACAACTGCCCAAATACTATACACCTTGGAACAGCTTCAGAATGAATTCCAATTTTCAAGTACTAAAGATTACCAGCACTTAAATATTAAGGATTTATAGCTACTCAATTATTTAATAAGGAAGCCTCAGCAAAAACAGAAAGATTGCTTTTTTGGTCTTAAATTTCAGTATTCACTGTGTCATTAACTGAGGCAAATGTCAAATATCAAAGTGAATGATGGTATATTTCTTATGTTAAATTGAGAAATTTTACCCATATATTTTCCAAGGCTATAAAGTTCTACTTCCTTAACAGAACACATTCATCTTTTCAAACAAGGAGAAGAGGCAAAAACAAAAATAGAAGAAAAAAAAGAGATAAATCATGTCTAAGCATGAAAGCAAAATCAACCCACTGGTATTTTAAGAGCCTTACTTGACATGCTGAGATCCTTCGTTTCCTGAGTTTCATGTCCACATTTGGGGCAGGGAGGCTGTTTTCCTTTCTCTTGTTTAAACACCTTGCTCCTTGAATGATCATCACAGAAACAAGCCTATACAGAGAAGTAAAAATAAACAGTAAATAATTAATTTAAATTTAAAAACAATTAGAGTAGAGATTAAGAGTTCTGTTGGGACTTTAATTATTCTTAAGGGAAATGGTCTTTGCCAGGACTCTTCAGAACTATGACCTAACACAAGGCAGAAACTATACCCAGGATATGATACACAGACACACTGATTCATTCATAAATATCTCCCCAAAGCCCCCGATGACGTAACGGTGAAGAGCCTATCCACCCGCACATGGCGTGCAGGCTGGCTGGGGACGAGGCCACGAGAGACACTATGCACTGAAGGAGAAGGCAGGGCGAGGCACTACACCCGATGAGGATCGGGAAAGAACATGGCGTCCGGCTGAGACCCGAAGGACAACAGGGGCGCTGTAAAAATGGAAGCGGGATCTAAGGCAGAGGAAACAACTTAGACAAAACTGGGAAAGAGTGGGAAGAGAAATAAGATAGGGTTAAGAATATAAGCAAAAACTAGAAAAATGGTTCTGAGAGAAGGGAATCGGCCGCATCTATTGAGTGATCTTTGACAAAGAGAAATGCTGGAGATGGTCCAAGGAAACAACATTATGGAAATCTTCCCTCTATGAAGCAAGTGCATCTTGACATTAATTAGAATATGCGGCTGTCATTTTAGTCAGAATGTTCTCCATAAATATAAGGTGTAAAAACACTGAGCTCAGCCCGGCCGGTGTGGCTCAGTGCTTGAGCACCAGCCCCTGCACCAAGAAGTCGCCGGTTCGATTCCCGGTCAGGGCACATGCCCAGGGTGTGGGCCTAATCCCTAGTGGGGGGCATGCAGGAGGCGCCAATTAATGTTCTCTCTCATCGATCTTTGTATCTCTCTCTCCCTTTAATTAATTTTTTAAAAATTTTTAAACAAAAACACTGAGCGAGATACAACAGGCACGTGCACTGTGTCAACTCTTAGACAAGCCAACAGGATGGCCTTTGGAAAGTCACAAAGCTTCCTCAACTCCACAATCTCTAAAATAAAAGAACTAAACTAAATAATGTTGAAGGATCCTTACAGATTAAATATCGCTCTGAGTAATCCAAGGACTCAGGGTAAAGTATGGAGATTAAAAACAAAACCTAAAAATAAAAAATAAGGTTGCAAGCATACCTTACAACGGAGACAAGAATGCTGACCGAGCCGATTACATGAAACACCTGTGGGGAAAATACATAATGTCCAGATTCGAATTGGAATAAAAACACTATTTTCCACAGATTTGTACTTGAAGTACTATCTTAGATCAATTACTAACAGTTTTTTTTCCTGTCTCATGATATAACCTAGAGGATACATAAAAATGAGATTGAATTTCCAGCCAAAGGGAAGGAAACCAACAACCGCTATATACTGAGATGTTCCTTTAATCTTTGAGATTTTGTATAAAAATATTGTAAGATAGATATATATAAAAACTTTAAATTTATAGTGACTATAAGGATTAACATTTGATACTAGAACAAGAACCAAATTAAAGAAAGTAAATATCTGGGGGATTTCAGTCTTTCCCATGATGTTATCTACTATATCATAAAGGCTTTCTAAGGCTTTCTTACTATACTAATGCTTTTCTTTACATGAATTCTCATTTCAATTAACTCTTTGAAAAAGAATTTAGCATCTTCCTTCTAAAGAAACTCAGATTTAGAAAGATTTAGTGATTTGCCCAAAATCATATGGCGGACAAGTGGAAATCTAGTAATGTTTATAAACTTGAGCTTTTAAGAATCAGAGTAGAGAGAAAATGCCATCTATGTGTGGTGACGATACTCCACCCAGTCAGTAACACTGCTTCCCAAATAGGAAGATACTTGAGAATTACGTGTGCAGATGCCTCACACCCATCACATACCTAAGTAGAGAAATCTCAGACATGAGTCCTAAGTACCTGTATTTTTAAAAACCTCCACAGGTGTCTTTGATGTACACTTCTAAGAATCGCTGGAAACAAACTAGGGGTGGTATCACTTTATCACTTACTTGGGGGCATCTGAAAGTGTGGGGGGGTGAGTGGGGTTGCTATAGTAACTTAGAGGTGAATGACATTCTGTGCTCAGGCCCAGTAATTCCTGATCATTCCCACAAAATGAAGAACTGGCCCAACCAAAACGCCACTGGCACCTCTGCTGAACAGAGAAACCAGATGTTGTGAATTCTTTCTGTATCTAGAAAGTAGATATTGAAGTAAATTACAGCCTGTAAGAGGCTGCATGAAAAATGAGATTCCTTTTTCACTGTTTAACACTTAGACTATTAAGAAACTTGGGTATAAAGAACATCTAATATATCAAAACTTACATTTAAATGTTTCCGCCTCTAAAACCTGGCAGCTGGCTTGATGTTCAAATTGATCATCTTCACAGAGAAAGTTTTGGCAGAAAGAACAACTAAATATTCTGCCTCCTGTTGGATTAAAAAACAAAACCCAAAAATGTAAATGTAATTAGCTTGAATTTAAAAAACTCGTGACTATAAAACTGCTCCAAAAGGATGGCAAGTTATTTCAGATTTACACCAACATGATACAGGAGTCTTTGTTCTGGTCAAGGCTACAATGAAAACTGCCAAAAGGAACATAAAGAAGTGGACTCCATGATCCCCTGGCTACACATATATAACACAATGCTCAGAGACACCTGCTCTCCAGTCACTCCCCTCCCTACCTGTTTTGGTAAACAATCCACGTGGCTCTTTCTGCTAGTTTAAATCCCTTTTCCAAATAAACTGATAGCCAAAACAGTGTTGTCAGTCCTAACCACTGGTTTCAATACCCTGAAAAAAATCTTTCAACGAGTATCCAGAATGTAGAGCGAAGTTCACTGCCTGCATGTAATCACTCACCATGGTCCCAGACACCTCGTTCACATTCCACACACTCAGCATCAGTAAGAGGGCAGGCGCAGGCATGAGTGCTGAGACATTTCCTACCGTGACAAACCCAAGCTTCACAGAAGTCACATATTGCACCCTGCAACAAAAGGGCACAAGAATTAATCTTGGTCCCTTGACTGGCTGCAGCCATTGTCTAACCCAGCCATTTCCAACTGGTGTGCTGCAAGAATTTTTAAAACATACAATACCTATTTAGTCAGGGGCACTGACCTCTTTTCCCTTATATTGTCAAATAAAAAAATGACAACAGCCAATACAAGAGCCATCTGCTGTGAATGCCCTATCTTGAACCATAAATATATAGGTCATATAATAGAGTTGCATCTTACTGGTCCCATCATATAATAAGGTTACATCTGATTGGTTAATTCTTGGTACCAGAAATCCTTATGTACAAGAAAAGGCACCTGATTTTTTTAAAAAATTCACTGGAGCAAAATGGGTAGGTAATTACTATTAGTATTTATTTTTAAAAATCAACCAAAGTTATACCTATTTTTTTGGTCAGATCGGCAAAAAATATATTTCTTTTGTGCCATAGAATTTTAGTAATTAGTTTACGTGACATGAGATGAAACAGTCTGAAAGTCCCTGGTCTAACCAGTAGCAACTATCAAAGCTGTATACATTTAGCAATTTCTCAACTCTCAGTGAGAGGGTTCAGTGAAGAAAAAATTTTACTGTTTACTCTAAGCTAAAAAATAGAGGGTTCTCTGAAAACTACTATACCAATGGCCATTTATATTATACAAACCTTAGCTATAAATCAAAAGAAAGAGGAGCAAGGGGGAAACCATACACTTAACCTAGTCTAAGTACTGAAGTCAGTCAGGAGCTGGAAGCGTGGCCTTCGGACTGAACTCTAATTCGAATGAAGTCTGGAGCCCACAGTTTAAGAACTCTGGTCTACAGCAATTCTCGTAACTAAACTGAAAGCTTTCAAATACTAATATTTCTGATTTAAGAAAATTCCTTATCAGTATAACTTACAAAATAATCACACAGCTTTTCTAGAATAACTTAGAGAAAACATTAAACTTCTGTCAGCATCTTTGTTCTTTTAAGGCAACTTATGCTTTAAATCAATTATCCTATTTCTTTGTGGAAAACATTAAAGTAAATATATAGAACTACATGACAGGGTAAGACTCTCCCATTCTATATCAAGATAGGATGGTTAAGACTATACCTTTCTGTAACATGAAATCAACAGAATATTAAGAACTAGAAAGAATCTTAATGGACTAAATGGTCTTTCCTTGACAGATGAGTAACAGGGGCTGAAGACTTAAGTCCAAATCCCAGAGCTACCTTACACAGGAGCTGAGATTTAAATCCTTGTCTTCTGAATCTCAGTTCAGTGTTATACCATTGAAGGCTCTGTAACAAAAACAGTATAGAGGACATAGGAAAAATGTTTTATGACTTGTAAAAATGGATTATCAGTGTAGCTAGCAAATCCTCCAATGTCTCTTGGATTATCCAGGGTTCTAACCACAAAGAGATGGCACACTAAACTGGTAATCCAGGCAAGTTTAAAAGCGATCATTTACAAAGGACAGGGAAAGGCTTAGAAAAAACATCAAGGGACGAGGCAGTTACACCCCCGGGCCTGAAGGGACAAGGGGAAGGGGGGGGTTACCAGAACCCCCATATGGAGGATTGCCGAGCCATATGGAGAGGAACTGTGCCCAATCCACATCCAAACCAGGACAGCCTGGCAGGGAGTGAGCTGGGAGAATAAAGACCCAGATGGTATTCTCCTTCTATCTTCTTTTTAATTGATTTTTTTAGAGAGAGAGAGATAGAAACAAGGATGAGAGAGAAATACATCAATCGGCTGCCTCCTGCCCACCCCCTACTGGGTACTGAGCCCACAACCCTGGCATGTGCCCCAACTGGGAATAAAACCGGGACCTCTCAGTCCATGGGACGATGCTCAATCCTCTGGGCCGCACCGGCCGGACTTCTACCTTAAAGTATCCTGCCAGGGCCTCCGACTGGCTGAACAAAGAGGAGCAATAAGGTAGGAAAGCCATGATCAAGACAGGTTCCCTGAGCAAAGCAGGGTGGACAAGAAAGAAAGGGACTCTTGACAGGCAAATCACTTTCTAGAATTTATAATTAATGATTCATGATTCTACTTAAATATTTTCTTTATATAAGAAAAGATCATACAGACTCATATAACTCAGCAAACTAAACTGTTTTATAAATTTAGACATAAGCAAGCTACCAAGGAAGATTATTATCGTTTCTGAATCTTTGATTGGTTTTTAAAAGATAACACTGACAATCCTATATTTAAAATAAAGAAGAATTCACAAGATGATTATAAATAATTCTAGCTCCTTGCATCTGTAAGATAAGTACACATAAAATAAATCACATAAAGATCTGCCTCATGATGAAAAGTTGTATGTTCTTGGGAAGTTACTACAAATAAAATATTCTGCTTCATGTAAAACAGTATTATTTTCACCATGGACTGAAATTTGGACCAGAGCACAAAATCACACAATGGGATACATACAGTAAAACTAGTTAAAAGGATAACTTTTTTGTGAAAAAGAGAACAAAATGCATCACACAAAACATGTTATTACTACCTAAAAAAAAAATGAATTTCCTTAGAAAATTCTACATGCAATGAAAAAGTTTTAAATAACTCTGTATTAAGTATGTACTTTCTTGGGAAATAAAAAGCTTTAAAAGAAACTACTGATCCTACGTTCTTTTGGAATGAGGTTGCCTGTCTCATCAAAAGCTTGAACCTTGGTTAAGCAGGGCTTTCAGTGTAGTAAATGAAGTCTAATTAAGACACATTAGAAAGGTACTACTGACAAACGAATGTTTAAGTCAACATTAAACAAATTTCCACTCCTTGTATGTTTCCACATAAGAAAAAAGGAAGCAATCAAAAACAAGTGGGTAACAAAGGAAAACCTTAACAAAGCTGCCAGATAATCCAAATAACTCCAGACTGATCGAACCAAGGGACAAAACAGTGTGATTATATGGTTATTAAATATAGTGGTTATGAGAAATAACCATTCATCAGAATGACGTTTTCTTATGTACAGACACTTACTAGTCTAAGACAGCAATTTTCGACCTTTTTCAACCCAAGACACACATAAACTAATTACTAAAATTCTGCAGCACACCAAAAAGTATATTTACCTATCTGACCAAAAAAAAAATAGGTATGATTTTGATTCATTCACACTGGCTGGTATTGTTGTGTTGACTGATGTCCTTTTTCAATTGGACAATCTAACGAAGAGAGGTCCGTGCCCTGACTGAACAGTCAGGAGCTGCATGTTCTAAAACTGCTTGCGGCGCACGGGCTGGAAACTGCTGGTCTGAGAGATAAGACAGAAGCTTACCACCATCGCAAGGCCAGTACTGTACACACCAGCATGCTTAATGACACAGTCCGAAGACTTCATCATGCACTTTGTTTTCCCTAGTAAAGAAACAAATTTGCACTATTAGCCTGGCAAAGTAGTACATGCAAGTATTCATTAATTCTTCTCTTTATCTAGCCTAAGTTCCTATGGAAGTCACTTTAAATGGATGGAAATGAGCAGTTTACTGCTCACATAACCAAAGATAGAAAATGGATATAACTGAGATCTCATTATCTGAGTCAGATCTTTTGAGATTAGAAATTTATTAAATAAGTTGCACAATAAAGTTTGGTTAATTCATATTTGTACTAAACTCAGAAATCGCAGATTATGTTCCATAAACAAAGGTGTTGTGAATTTTCACATGAATTAAAACAAATTTTAAAAAACTATGCTGTAAGCCCTGGCTGGTGTAGGTTCAAGGAACAAAGGGTCGAGGATTTGATTTCTGGTCAAGGGCATGTACCTGGGTTGCAGGTTCAATACCTGGCTGGCCCAGGTAGGGGTGCATGTGGGAAGCAACCAATGATATGTCGCTCTCACATCAATGTTTTTCTTTCTCTTTCTCTCTCTTTCTCTCCTCCCCACCTTCCACTTTCTCTCAGAAAAGAAAAAAGAAAAAAAATCAATGCAAACAATATCCTCAGATAAGGATTTAAAAAAATAACAAAAAACGCCCTGGCTGGTTTGGCTCAGCAGTTAGAGCGTCGGCCCACTATCCAGAGAGACCTGGGTTTGGTTCCCACTAAGGGCACGTACCTCGGTTGCAGTTTGTCCCTGGCCCTGGTTGGGTCGTACAGGAGGCAGCCACTCAATGTGTCCCCTTCACGTCGATGTTTCTCTCTCCCTCTCTCTTCCTCTCTCTCCCTCCCACTCTATCTAAAAAATAATAATAATAACAAAAAACTATGCTTTAAAATGAATTTAACCTTTCATAATTCACAATAAAAACAGTCTGGTTTAAAGTAATTGCTTATTTCTTCCCACAGAACATCTGAAACCAAACCACACAGTGATTATGCATCTTATCTGGTCACTTTTAAAGTTTATTCATATGTAAAAACTTATAGACATAGCTTCCAAGTAAACATTTTTCAACAGGATTTTAAAATAGTTCCCAAGTAAGCTCAAAAACCAGCAATATGGTGATACAGCTAAAGTCACAATACAGCCAAAAACGCTGATGTAGCAGCTAATTACCAACAGAAAATACTGTCAGGAAATCCACTTATCATATACTATGCAAAGATTAATGATGACACAGTAATCACCCATCTCAGGCTCCAAAGTGGAACATGAACAAAACAGAAGATACTCAATTTCCCATGATCCTGACTGCCTGAGAACAAAGCTCGACAACAGGAAACGGGAAGAGAAGCTGGAAATGGGAGGCAGTGGTTAGCTAACAGTTCCATGTGTAACATCAAGTACAAGAATAAGTGAGAAATGCTTCCATGTATAGCACTACAAAATTTAAGCTCAGAAACACTGAAATTATAGCAAGGTTCTAGCAAGAACTTAATCTTCTCCATAAACTATTTTCTCACTTTATATTTATTTTTATAGAATAAGGATTTAAAAACTGGCAGAGCCCTGGCCAGTTTGGCTCAGCGGTTGGAGCATCGGCCTGCGGTCCAGAGAGACCCGGGTTTGGTTCCTAAGGGCACGTATCTCGGTTGCAGTTTGTCCCCTGGCCCTGGTTGGTCGTGCGGGTGGCGGCCACTCGGTGTGTCCCTTTCACGTCGATGTTTCTCTCTCTCTCTCTCTTTCTCTCTCTCTCTCTTCCCCTTCCCCTCTCTCTCCCTCCCACTCTACCTGAACAAAGAATGGAAAAATGTCCTCAGGTGATGACACAAAAAAAAACTGGCAGATAAGTGGTCTACTTAAGCCAGTATTTTCCTTTTCATTATTTAAAAACTTCAGTGGCCCTGGCCGGTTTGGCTCAGCGGTTAGAGCATCGGCCTGCGGTACAGAGAGACCCGGGTTCGGTTCCCGCTAAGGGCACGTACCTCGGTTGCAGTTTGTCCCCGGCCCTGGTTGGTCGTGCGGGTGGCAGCCACTCGATGTGTCCCTTCACATCGATGTTTCTCTCTCTCTCCCTTCCTCTCTCTCCCTCCCACTCTATCTGTACAAAAAATGGAAAAATAGCCTCGGATGAGGATTAAAAAAAATAATAATAATAAAAACTTCAGTGATGTCTTCTTTGAAAGCTAAAACGACACTAGAAATATTCAGGGATATAGCCCTAAATATGCCTAACTTTCTGTAACGTTAGCATATGTAAACACATTTTTATTGAGCGTATCCCAAAATGTGTTCCACCTGAAACTATTATCCCAAAACCAAAAGGGATATTTATTCAAATAAAGGTTTGGGGAGTAAATCTGTCTTTCACTGGAGTCTCCAGAATTTTAATATAAAATATGTAATAGAGCTCTCCCAAGTGGGAAGGGGTGAACCATGTAGCATCTCTCAGATGTATACATAGCACTAAGAAATATTTATTGATATCTCAAGTACTCTTGAGGAAGACAGTTTGAAAAACTGCAATCTTGTTCTGTGAGCTACCATTTATTAGTTTTACTCTGAATGATTATTTACTCTTAATAAAAGTTTCCACTTATACTTGGGAACTGAGAACGTGGCTTAGGAATTCTATTCCAATCACTTGGGAACCCATGTGAGGAAATTGAAGAATCATATGCCAAACAGAAAACAAATGATCACAAAAACTGGCACCAAGTAAATGTGGAATAAAATTATTCCCAATAGTCTCACATACTGCAGGCAATATCAGCAGGAATCAAAATTTAGAAAGTAAACCAATGGCTCAGGTGACTAAGGTAGTATCATTAAAAATTCAGGATCACTGTCCGACCGGTGTGGCTCAGTGTTGAGCGTCAACCCATGCACCAAGAGGTCGCCAGTTCGATTCCCGGTCAGGGCACATACCCAGGTTGTGGGCCAATCCCCAATGGGGGACATGCAGGAGGCAGCCAATCGATGTTCTCTCTCATCAATGTTTCTATCTCTCTCTCCCTCTCACTTCCCCTCTCTCCATAATCAACAAAGGGATAGAAAAAAAAAATTCAGGATCATCAAGTGTTATTAGTCTGAAATCTGATCTTTTAATGTTTAAAAACAATATGCTAGCAGCCCTGGCCAGTGTGGCTCAATTGGCTGGGCATCTTTCCATGCACTGAAAGGCTGCCAGTTCGATTCCTGGTCAGGGCACATGCCCAGGTTGTAGACTAAATCCCCAGTAGGGGGCGTGCAGGAGGCAGCAGACAGTTGCTCTCCCTCTAAAGATCAATTTTAAAAATCTTTACCAAAAAAATGTTGGTAACCTGTATTTTAATTGTTTTCCCGTATTATATCAAAGAGGTAAGATCAAGACTTGATAGTGTTCTGGTAGGCCAAATAACATTTAATGTTATTAATGGTAAGGTATAACATTATCATAAACAATGATAAACCCAAAGTTTCAAATTGATTAATTGTCAAACAAATGTTTCACAAAAGGCAGGTACCCCCAGTTATCATATACTTACCACACTGTGCACAAATTGGTAACTTCTGTACAGAATTACAAAAATAGCAAAATGCTCTATTCTTCTGCCGCCTTGTCATGTAAAATAAAAATTTTAAATAGTCAATATCAGATCAAAGATCAGAGGATCCATATTCTTAAATACAGATAGAAAAAGAAATAAAAATTTACCTCTGACACTTGTCACATTCCTGTAAAATATAAATATGACATTAATTTTCTACTGGCTGAAAATTGATAATTTACTTGCATTATAAAGAATATCCTGTCCTTCATGTTAAAATTTAAAGACACTTGCCTAAACCCTCCAGCTTCCCCCAGTATACAAGCACCAACACATAGCAAGGGTATGCTCTTGGACATACCGCCCTAGAGAAAGAAGTGGCATTTTCACAAATGAAGATAAATACAGAGGTAGTTTGTTTAATGAATCATACAAATAATAAAGAATAGACACAAGAAACAGTGGAGAATACAATTATGATGAAGCTTACAGAAAATCCAGAATCTTAAACATGGTATTAAAAATTTCTCAAAAATCTGCTCTCCAACTACTTTTCCACTTTGCTGAACTACTGTCTTTACATTTAAGTCACTATTTGTCAGCCATTTTCAAAATATGCCTTGGGTTCTCTTTTTTAATGCCTTACTTAGAATATTCTAATACTCTACCCTGAAAAGTCCCTCCTCACAGTCTTTACCTGTTGGAAATTCTGGTGATGTTCCCACCTCTTCTGTAAACTGTATCCCATCCACACATTCAACTTGATCACCTCTTAACCCTAACTTGCCTGCAACACTTACCATTCTGGCCGTGATATGTGAGTCATTTCTTGTTTGTCTGCCCCATACCCCTTGTTTCTAGAAATGACCCTGACACACAGAAGGGAGTCCCCACTGTCCTATCGGTGCTATGTAATCCTGCTCCCCCTCCCCCACCACAGCCATAAATGTTAGTGCTAGAAATGGCACCCACCCACGTCCAAAGTATCCGAGTTCCTTCCCTCTCTAAGGGCAACAATATGTGATGTGAGACATGCAAGCTACCAGTGCCTATGAACCCAAACAACTGGAGTAAGACAATCTGAGAAAATGGAATAAGAAAAAAGAAACAAAGCAAAAGAAAGAAATACAAGGCCGTTCCAGGTTCCAGCTATATCCTCACCTGCCCAACTACACAAGTTAGTCCGCTATTCACTCAATAAACTCTATTTCTCCCCGGTTATTTAGGTTGAATTTGTAATGTACACACAAATAGTTCTTAAGTAACGCACAAAAATCTGGAAACAGGACTGTGTCATTCACCTGGTATCCCCACAGTGCCTAAAATAGTACCTGGCACAGAGTAGGTGCCCAATAGTTCATAGAATTAAGTCATGTTAGACATTTCATACATGTTTGATGAAACAAAGGAGTAAGAAAAAAGAGCAGTAGTGGGAATACAAAAAATAGAAGTAGAAATAGGAGAATGTGGAATGACTCAGAGAAACATGGTCGAAGAAAGAAAAGGAGCAACGCTGACATAATTTCCTGCTTTTCACAACTTTGACCGAGAAGCCCAGAAGTGATCAGGACTAACTCATTTGGCATAGGGAAATAAGGTAGCAGAATGGGAAATCAAAAGAGATGTCAAGAACAGTGGAAAGTTTAGAAATGAGAAATCAAAGAGTTAAAAAGAACTGCTAGGAGAAAATAATGAAAGGGCTACAACAGGACACACTGAATTAAGGCACATCAGGTGAGAAGCTGGACATTTTTTCACAGAGATCCTAGTATGGATTCAATGACTACTTATCATCAGCAGTAGGCAAGGTAATATGCCATGTCTTATAAATAACATAAAACCAAACAAAAATCACTGCTACTCAGTGTTAATGAAAACAATGGACATGCCTCTAACAGATTTCAAAATCAATAAAATATATGCAGCAACACTGTATTCACTAACAATCTTTTCAGGTGGTTTTCAGATCCCTGGTACAGTTTTCAACCATGAACTGACAGCATAAAAAGCTGTTACCATTGAGGCGTTGCACGGGTGTTTAGCTAAATCTATGGTGCTTCTGGATGCTCGCAGCTGTTTTTCCCGTTCCCGGCGGTTCTCTGCCTTCTTCCTGGCACCGGTCTTTTTTTTAGGCATTTTCCCGTCTTTCAACACAAGAGAACAGAGAAGGTATAACTGCCACATTGCATTTGCTATTTCAAATAAACTAAGACATTTATTATCATTAAATTTTAAACTCAACCCTGTCATTTTGACAATTAAGCAGTTTTAAGCCGTTATGAAACATGAAGCACACATTATCCCAAATAGATGCCTTTTAAACTAATGAATGTTTGCACTACTAAAACAATTCTAACACTTGTAAATACACACACATAAAAATCATCCTAAAAGCCAATAGTTTTCTTTTCCACCAGGAAAAAACAGTTTCCCTGATGTTAAGTATTCTTTAAAAATTACTCTGTACCAAGTTAAAAAAAAAAATTATTAGGGAGATATCATTAACGAGAAATCATTAAAAACTATACTATTTACCCAGTTTATATCACTTTTCTGAACTATATATTCACATGACCTAACGTTGACTTAAAAATTAACAAGTCATATTTCTCCTATGTAATATCTAAATGAAGCATCTACTAGTCAAGTCAAATGACATTAACCACAAAAACAATTATCTTTGAAAAGACACTAAAGGTATTACAGTTGCTTTAACTCTGAAACTGCCCTTCTGTCTAAATGCTGTGCAGCATATAAGGGGTGGACAAAAGTAGGTTTACAGTTGTAACACAAGTAATACAATTAATAAATAATACAAGAATAAACTATTTCACACCCTGGCTGGTTTGGCTCAGCAGTTAGAGCATCAGCCCTTGGACCAGTCACCAGTTCGATTCCCAGTCAAGGGCATGTACCTTGGTTGCAGGCTGAGCCCAGGAGAGGGTAGTGTGGGAGAAAACCAACAGATGTGTCTCTCACACTGAAGTTTCTCTCTACTCCCGTCCCCTGACTCTATCTAAAAAAAAAAAAACACAAAAAAAATCAGTGGAAAAATATCCTCAGATGAAGATTAAAAACACACAAAAAATTGTTTCACGTACTCAAAACTGTAAACCTACTTTTGCCCACCCCTGTACACCAAGTCTTCACTTAACGCTGTGCACAGGTCCTGGGTGTGACGTGAGGTGGCCTGGAACAAAACCAATTTTATCACGGGGTAACTGATGTAAAGGGGAGTTAAGTTCCTAGCCACCTCACGGTTATAACTAAATGGCTTGGACAAAACATTATTCTACCACCTGCTGTAATTTCAACAGGGTTCAAATTTATTTTTAAGAGTATATATATATATATACCACATATATTAAAATAATGACTTTAGCCCTGGCCAGTGTGGCTTAGCAGTTAGAGCATTGGCCCGCAGACCAATGAGTCATGGGTTCGATTCAGGTCAAGGGCACGTACCTCGGTTGCAGTTTGTCCCCAGCCCTGGTGGGGTAATGCCGTTAGCAACCAGTGGATGTGGCTCTACTTCTTGGTCTGTCTCTCTCTCTCCCCCTCCCTCCCACTCTATCTGATAATAAGTAGAAAAATATCCTCGGGTGAGGAATAAAAAAAGGAAAAATAAATAATGACTTTAAAATAGGCTTTCATCACTTAGTTGAGAGAACTACCACATTTAGCCCTGGCCAATCTTGCTCAGTGGTGAGAGCATCAGCCCCTGGACCAAAGAGTCCAAGTTCAATTACAGGTTCCAGGTTCCAGGTTGGGGGGCCGTGGTGGAGCACCTGGTTTCTCTCTCTTCCCGCCTCCGCTCCACTCTCTAAAACTCAACGGAAAAAATAATCTTGGGTGGTGATCAACAAACAACAAAAAAAGAACTACCACATTTAGTACAACAAGATCTTTACTAGATAACACATTTTTATTGGACTCTTTATCAGTCTGAAAACTACAAGTTTCCTGAGGATTCCAGCCCCATCTTACTTGATGCTGTTTGCCTCCCAGCTCTGCCTGGCATGTATCAAGCACTCAGTAAGTGAAGTTACACTAATGAAAGTGTCTACGTGCTTGCTCTGAAATCTGAATCTCAAATTTCTTAATAGTCTTCAAAGTACACATTTTCAAAGTCTTTTCTGAAAGCGATGCTCAAAAATCAACTGTAGTAATTCCTAAATATACGATTTAGACTTCTAGGCCCTACTCAAGATCTAGGAATTCTAAACCTCCGAGGACAGGCTCAAGTTTCACGGTGACTGTGACACAACCGTGAGGGCATAAACGTTCCGATTCCAAGCAATCAAAGCACGTCCACGGACATGGACAACCCAAGACGGCACACCCTGAAGAGATGGACATTTCTTATTCAAAGGGGGGTATTACAATACAGGGAAACCATGCACAGGCTTGTCCTGGGAACAATACAAAGGTCAATCCTCAACTTTCCCCACTTTGGGTTTTCAACTCCTATGTTACAATGTCCCATCAAAAACCAAGCGATGGGAAGTTGCGACGTAAAACAGACAAATCAATCCAGGAAGTTTAGTGGGTGGTTACTCAAGTAATGTCCAGGCCCACTAGTTCACCCTTCCTGTTTCTAAAATGTCAAAAACCTACAGGGTGAAAAAAAAGCTTGTACTGTTACTTGTACTGCTCCGGCGAACAGAGCCCAGAAAACAATCCCGGGGGGAGCCGACAGGTGAATTCTCCTACGTGCCCAGGGGTGAACCCGCTGAGAAAGTTGGGCCTCAATTTTTTTTCTCCCCAGCTTGTTTTGGGAAACCTAACGAGCAGTCTTTTTCTCAGCCCTTCAGGGGTGTAAGCCCTTCTCCAGTAGCGCCCCGACTTCAGAGCGTGGCCGCGTCAGCCCGCGAGGACACGGGTGCGGGTCCCCGCGGTGCCGGAGGGAAAGCCTGCGCCGAGGCCCCACGGGGGCAGAGGCGGCCGGAGGAGGCTCGCGGAGGTGCCACGCGGCTCGGGGAGCCGACAACCGCCCCCCGCCCGCGGACACCCTCCCTCGCGCGCGCTCCGGGCCGACCTCGCTCACCCTCGCGGGGAGGCCCGGCTCACTCCGCGGGCAGAGCGCAGGGGACGGCGTGACGCCGACCCGCGGAGACAGCTAGTCCGGCTCGTGGGCCACGATTCGCGGTTAAAAGCTACTGAGACCAAGGCAGGGCGGACAGTCACTTTCAGACTCTGGGAGCCGGGCCGGATGTCCTCTGACGTCAGCCGCGTCCCTACGGCAGCGCGTCGACAGGGAAGGGCCCGCCCACTTCTGTGCGCTCCGCCCCGGCCCCGCCCACTTCCGTGCGCCCCGCCCCGGTCCCGCCCACTCCTGCGGGGCAGGGGTGGGGTGGGGGCGGGCCTGGCTCTCCATCCTGGGGAGACCTGGCGGGAAGGAGGAGAAGGCCAAAGGGAAGAGGAAAAAGAGGAAAACAGGACTTAAGAGGATGGAAGGCCCCTCCAGTTTTATTTTTCCGGAAAAGGATAAGGCTACAGGAAGAGAAACATCTAAAAGGGAGGAGTAAATGAACTCACAAACGTGGTACTCTGTCAGTTGACTCACAGAAAATTCTGGCCCAATTCTGGGGAAACTTTCCAACACCGATTCCGCACATCACGCTTTTTAGGTTTGCTGCACAAGCTGAGCCTCGAGTTGCCTGGTGAAGTTCTGTTCTACCCTCCTGCGGCTCCTGTTCCCACGGGGCCCTCCGGAATGCCGCTCCTGTGAACAGTCTTCCACTTTCTGGGCTCCAGGGCGAGCTGCCCTGCCTTTACCCGAAACGGGACATCCTCGCCCTTGCACAGACTGCTGGGCCCTCTCTGAAGGGAAGGGTGCTAGGTTCCCACACTTCTCCGGGTTAGGAGGTGGGGTCAAGCGCCTCATGCTGATAGTTACCCCCTTTCTATGTAGCCATGCCGTTTTTTGTCCTTCACTGCTGCTATTTTTTGATAGAAAAACTTAACTGATAGAAACTTTGGAACTTGACTTCCAATTTCTGCCATCACCCAGAGTTGCATTAACATCCAAATGGAAGACCCCGTCTCTTGGGTTCTTTATTTCTTCATCTCGGATAGCCAGCCCCTGCACCCCACTACAGGCACCCACTCTCCTGACCACACGCCAGGTCTTGTCATCAGGTGGATCCACTCCACCACTGACATCCAAATTCAAACAACCTATCCAACCTCCTATCTTACCAACTCTCTCTGCTTAGCCTCCTGATAAAGACATCAAATCTCTTGACCCTTCTAATTTTCTCCCTATCAATTATCTCTCTGCTTTCTTTTCTTCTCTCCCCACCTCCCAGTTTATAAAACACAATGTATCACATCAGTCACAATATGCCTTATTTTCCTTCTGATCCGATTGACAAACATTCTCAATCCAACAGCTTGCCTTTCCTTTCCTATGCTGGACTTCTGAGTGTTATTAAGGAAAAACAGAGGTACACAATTATGATTTTACTCGAAATCCAAAGTCACCAACCTCCACAAGACTTTCAAAATTGTTCTTGAGTCCTCCTATATTGTTCTAATCAGAGGTACCTTTTCCATTCTCCACATGGCTTTAACAAATCTCTTTCCTTAAACTACCCATCACCTCCTACATCAATTTCAACAGGTACTATTGCCTCCTATTTCACAGAGAAAATATAATAATATCAATAATGGCTATACATCTATCATTCTGTGCTACTGGTATTCTGATTACACGTGCAGTATTAACTCCTATTTTACACATGAGGAAACTTGGGCAGAGAGACTATGCAATTTTCCCCAAGATTATACAGATTGTTTGGCTTGCAGTATTGTCTGTGGCAGCATTCTTAATTTTTTTTTTGTCTCCGCACCCCTAAAAACTCTTAAAAGTTGGACTCTAACAAGCATTTATTTATGTGGATTATGTCTATTAATATCTACCATATACAAATATTCAAACATAAAACTTTAAATATGTATTAATTCAGTAAAAATAATACTCAAGTATATTACATGTTAGTATAAATAGCATATTTATAGGGAAAATAGCTATATTTTTTCAAACAAAAAGCATAGAAGAGTGGTATTCTTTTACAGTTTTGAAAATCTTTTTAATGGAAAGCTTAATAGAAGGCAGGTGAATTCCCATATCTGCCATGCTATTGAGAAGTGTTTTGATGTTCTCGTTTTCCTAACATATGGTTAGCCAGAGTAATTGCAAAGAACCCTCTGGGAAAGAACTGGGGGAATTATTACAGTGTACATCTTTTATAATATTCCAGGGCTCCCTCCTGGGGATCTAGCCTTTTCTCTGTTGATGGTTTCCAGATCCGAGAACTGGCTCAGATTAAAAAACTGAGCAAAGGACTGTGACTCATTATCAAAGGAGTGCCCGCGGGGTCCTGGTCTTGCACTCCTTGATTTCTTTGGATTATTCAGAATGAGCAGTGTCCTTGTTTGGTGCCCATCCATTATGCTTCTGGTGACACCATATTGTTACCCATCTCCCTAATCTTCTGGGGATCGGGCCCTCTCCTTCATGGTCACTCATTCCTTACCACTGATTAAAAAAAAATTACATTTTGCCCGGCTGGTGTGGCTCAGTGGATTGAGCATCGTCCTATGCACTGAGAGGTCCCAGTTCAACTGCCAGTCAGGGCACATGCCTAGGTTTCAGGCTCCATCCTCAGTGGGGGGCATGCAGGAGGCAGCCAGTCAATGTTTCTCTCTTGCATCAATGTTGCCATCTCTCTCTCCCTACCTCTCTCTCTACAAATAAATAAAATAAAATTACATGTTAAAGAAAGCCAGGTTATTGACCCGGTGGCCAGGAGGAAAGCTGAGGGCAGATCCTGAAAGGGGCACAGGTTGTACAACAAGGAGGGGGCCTCCGCATTGTTTTCAAGCAAGTGGCGGGAGGGAAGGCACTAGCCATTAATCAGGACTCAGAGGGTTTGGGAAAATATGGGGATTCACATAGTTCAGCTGTCCCAACCCAGTTCATTGCATCAGGCTTTTTTTCCACTCCAGCATTCTGACGCTGGCATGGCCACCCTACCTGGGCCGCATGGTGGTTAATCTCCGTCGGAGCTCTGCCATGCTTACGATGCAGTGCGGGGCCCATTGCTCAGCTTTTCCGCCCTCCGCTGCAGGAGATAAAAGCTTCTTAATTTGCTACCAAAGAGGCCTTTTGAATGTTACGCTTATATTTTTATAGCCATTAACCCTTCTCAGCTTTTTGCTTTCTGCAAAGAATCAGTTTTGCTTAGCCACAGCTAATTCCTCTGTTTTTAAGATTACTATTTCTCTCATATTTCTTAGATGCATAATGCATTGCACCTACTCCAGTGTACAGTTATCCCTCGCTATTCAAAAGTTCATGTTACACCACTTCGCTTTTACCAAAGATCTACATGCGTACCCATTTCTACTAATTGAAAGAAATCCAAAGAGGATTTTTGCTTTTACCAAAAAAAGGAGAAAGAGCCTTTAGCATTCGTTTTGCAGGGAGCCCTGACAGAGTCTGTGCGCACCTGCGCAGTGAGAGCAGCCCTGCCAAGCTCCCTCCCTGGGAACTACACTCAGCATCTCCACAGCAAGCCCATAGCTGTGAACCGGGTCTGTGAGCATCTGTGCTGTATCTCAATTTATTCTGTGCTTCATTAGCGAGATGTGTCCTAAGCTATCAGAAACGTCTGAGAGCTCATAAGGGTGTTATGCTTAGCATAATACTGGACATAATTGTTATTTTAGGTTTTATGTGTTATTTGGTATGGTCTGGTGGGTTATTTTTTGGGTCTGGAATGAGCAAGCATTTTTCCATGTAATTTAATGGTAATTGCTTTTTTGCCATTTTGCTTATGAAAGGTTTTGTAGGAACACTGTCCTTTCAGATAGCAGGGGAAACCTGTATTATCTTCCATTAGGATATATCCAGTTCACTACTAGTGAGTTTTACCTTTTGCACTGTTATCTTGTGCCAAGGTCTGTCTGTCCCACATCTGTCACCAATGAGGAGGTCTCACCGACAGTCAGCTGGCCAATGATTCAATTCAAAAATTCCTTATTAGCTTCTGTCTTGACTCATCCCTGACATCAACCATCATAGACTGGCTTCTCTGCAAGCATAGTGAGTCAGCAGTGGGTACAGAGAGTTGACTAGAGAATGCTTTGGAAACAACACCTGCAAAGGGATGGTACAGGATTGGAGGGAAGAGTTGTAATACAGTCTCAGTGAAGCTCTTCGCTGTGGATCTGGAATGTCCCTTCAGAGTTAAGGGAGTGGGCTCAGCCTTTATGCACCTGTGACATCAGTCACTGGATGTGGGCAGACACGGGAAGCAGGTAGATTGCTCGGGCTAGACTACTAACAGAAGCTGGCAACTGCATTTCGTCAGCTTGCCGAACTCCCAGCAGCCCAGGGAATAAGTCCCTTATTTTTGAATTGGGGTGTGGGGCCCTGGCCGTTTGGCTCAGCGGTTAGAGCTGAGAGTCCTGGGTTCAGTTCCCGCTAAGGGCACGTACCATGGTTGCAGTTTGTCCCAGCCCCAGTTGGAGTCGTGTGGATGGCGACCACTCCATTTGTCTCTCTCACGTCAATGTTTCTCTCTCTCTCTTCCCGCCTCTCTTCCTCCTGCTCTATCTGAAGATAAATGAAAAAAAAAAAAATGTCCTCGGGTGAGGATAAAAAAAAAAAAAGTTGAATTGGGGTGTGGGTAGTGCCTCCCAATGTTCACTACAAACAATGATAGCTAAATAAAGAAACATTCACCCAAAGACAGAAAATCTTTACCATTTATAGACAATCACTGAAAAAATTCCAAAAGGGTACTTAAGGAAGATGACAATGGAATTCAGAAGAAAGGGGTGGGGGGTGCACAAAGCAATAGTGAGTAATCATTTCATTTAACATATAAAGTAAATCTAAAATATGCATACAAAACACCAAAACTACAATAGACAATTTTATTCCCTATGAGGGAATAAAATATTCTTTGAATTCACTGCAGTTCAAAACAAATCCTAACAAAGAGTTTTAATGAATTTGACTAATTGATCGTAAAATTTATATGGTTGAGTAAAAAGCCATAAATAGTCCAGACCATTTTTAAACACCTGCAGAATACTTTTATTCATTATAAAACTCCAGTAATTAAAACATTGTTGTATAAAGGGAGATGTTGACAAATAGACATATGTAACTGAACAGATGTC